ATCTCTTTTCTCAAGGAGAACAGAATTGTCAAGAAAGTGACAGCTTTAAATCTGCATTTCATTAAACTCAAGTAAATTCTTTGTCTCAGCTTTTAAGAAGGTTTTAGACAGAACGCTTACCTATACACTAGAAGTAAATGTTAAAACCTACCCTTTACAGTCTTTGGAACAAACAAAATTATTTTGAGCTTCATAAAATGTGAGCCTAAATATTTTTTTTAACTTATTTTAATTTATTTATTATTTTTGCCTGTGCTGGGTCTTCATTGCTGCACGTATGCGCTTTCTCTAGTTGCGGCAAGTGGGGGCTACTCTTGGTTGCAGTGCGCAGGCCTCTCATTGCAGTGGCTTCTCTTGTTGTGGAGCATGGGCTCTAGAGCATGTGGGTGGGCTTCAGTAGATGCGGCGCTTGGGCTCAGTAGTTGTGGCTCGTGTGCTCTAGAGTGCAGGCTCAGTAGTTGTGGCACATAGGCTTAGTTGCTCCGCGGCATGTGGGATCTTCCCGGACCAGGGCTCGAACGCGTGTCCCCTGCATTGGCAGGCGGATTCTTAACCACTGCACCAGCAGGGAAGCCCCTAAATTTTTATCATTTTGTACTTGTACAAGAAATATAAACTTAAATATTATGTAACCTTATTACATTTAATGAAGGTTGTAACCTTATACTCTAAAAATTATATTACAAAACATCATGAACCTCATCACAGCTCAAAAATATGAAACTAGATCCCATTTTACCTATTTAAAATAGTGAGTTGTTTTCTCCTACCAATATATAATTCCTCATTTATAACCAAGAATCTTATTTTCAACCTGTCTTGACATGCTTCTGTATTAATATATAATACTTTGCACTCATATGACTGTGTGTAACGTTTTCAAAAGAGCATTCACCATACTTTGAGTCCCTGAAAGGTAAGAACTGTGCTCTAGTTGGTTCTTTATCTTTTGCGTCTCATATAACAACTAGGACACAGTACAAACTCGATTCATATTTGAGCTAGTGAACAAATAACAAAGAGGAGGAAAACTGTCTGATCCAAAATCAGCCCAAATGAAACTTATGAATGATATCTCTAAAAGGAGGGCTGATAATGAGGATGCACGAATGAATGAACAACAAACAAATAAATAAAATTATAGAAAGTAAAATAAAATGGAGTGAGTTTACTTATTAACCTAGATATCATGAAAAACAGAAATTGGGCTTTCAGGATGTTGGCTTCCCAAGCAATTTCTGGAGGAGACTGGGCCTCCTCATCCCCTCTTCAAGTGGAAGATGGCCTTTCAATGAAGGACACAGCTGGGAATGGGAAGACCCAGGCCGCTGGCCCCAAACAAGTGGGTGGGACAGTGAGGTGGAAGAATAGTAGTTAACGCCACTTGATGACCAATGTCTAAGGGTCGCAAAAACTCTCCTAAACACTTAAGATGGGGAAGGAGTAGGATTATTTAAGAGTTCCTAGGAAAGATTTCTTTCCCAGAGATATCTCCCCTATGCTTTCTAAAGTCCCACCAGTTAAAATATTTTTAGTTCTCAATACATGGCTCCTTTCAGCTCAATGGACACTAGCAGTTAGTGTCAATGAAAGTTAACCTCTCCTTCCCATTCCCATGATCAGATTATTTAAGAGAAGGATTGCTAACCAAAATATATCTTCAACATTTAACGTCCAGGTCCCTAATGCCAAGTCCAGCAGACTGCCCATCATATCATGGCTTCAGACTTGCCCTAATATTGATACTTAGATCAGGGGCCTGCATATTCAAGTGTCTATAGTCAGGTAATGTAAGTTCATGTTATGTAGTATAATTGACAGGTAATATAAATGAGTGATGACTAATTGTCAAACAGTAAGGGATGGTGGAGACTATGTCAAAAGAAGAGTGTGTACCCTATCTGAGGAGGGAGCCACTACTTAGTTCCAGCATATTCTTGCTATGCAGAAATGTGGACCCAGTTTTGCCAAGATCTTCCAATTTTTCAAGAGAGGCTGAAAATCCATATTTTAATATAAAATGTACTATTTTTAAGCATGTCTATGGCTGAAAGTGGCTTTTTGTCTCCCAATTTGTGGCCCTTGATCTAAATGAACAAGCATCATTGAGAAAATGCAAAGAGACAAAGGGGAGGCCTATTTTGGCCAGAAAGAGGGAGGCAGAATCAAAGGGGAGAAAAGGGCAGGAAAGAGGCACAGAAAGGAAGGTGGAAGTCAAATTTCACCAACCTCAAAACCTGGCCTAGGGACCCCAAACTATCTGTCTTCTAATCTGAGAACAAAAAGGAGGAGATGAAGAAAGAAAAAAAAAAAAGAGGGGAAGGGAGAAAAAGAACCAACTCTTGAACACTTACTAGATGGCAGATGCTGTATCAGAGGCTTTCACATATGCACTTTCATTGAGATATGGCAATGAGAGAAAAAACATCCTATGCATGGGGAAAAGAGGGAACTATATCAAAATACTAACCATTTATGTGTCAGATGATGAGAGCCCCCTTTCCAGTTCCCCACAATTTTTAACCATAAATATAATATGGTTATATTAACTTTATAATAAAAAACAAATCTGATTGAAAGTTAAATAAATAAGTTGGATTTCTGGGTAAAAATCCACCCATCCTAGAGTGTAGAAAGTATACTACCATTAAGTCAAGCCAAACTATGCACTGAGCATTTAAAAAGAAAAGAAAATATAACAACTCTAAGTGTATATACATATGTAACCTTGCAATTATAAAACCAGAAGAAAGAGAACATGAAAGAAACTATACAGGTGATGTAGACCACAGACAGATTAAATAAGAACAGAGATATGTGAAATTGTTAAGAATGCTGTAGGTCATTCTCCTTAATTATAAAGTTGACTACTAAGATGTTTTGTGTGTGTGGCCTACAAACATACAATGTACTAAGTCCTCTCTTCTATAAAATCTTTCAGACATCTGCCCATCTGTTACATACTTTTCTACATTTACTACATTGCTTTCTTTCCTTTAGGCATGTATTTTTATTTAAACAATACTTTTATTTGCCTTTAGGGTGTTTCAAAGGTAACAGTAGGTTTTCTTTTTTTTTTCCTAAATGAAGTAGTATCTCATTTCAGGCCACTTGGGTTCTAAGCAATCTAAATTCCCAATTAATCTCTTCCAAATATACATATCCAGTTTTCATTCTGTTCACAAATGAAACCCTAACCCAAATACCTCAAATGTAATTTCAGGGGAAAAATACTGTTCAAAACCCTAGATAATGCATTCCTTCGCTGATGCTAAATATAGTCATCTCAAGATGACATACATTTTGACAATGATCAGTCTTACATATCAAATTTTCAAAAATAGCACAGATTCCATTTTCAATGAGTAGGAAAAATTGCTATTCACTACATTTCAGCTTAAAATGGATTTAAAAGTGGGACTCTTTCATGAAAATGGAAATTACATCAATACTGTATCAACGTAAATTGGATTTAAAAGAATTTTGTTGTGGTTTTTGCTTAGGGCTCTTTAAGGGAGTCGTGGCAGACAAAATACAGAATTGCCCACATTTTTCTTTCAAGTATTCCCATCCAGAATATAAAATATCTTCAAAAATAGGGGGCTAATAGCTGTGAGAAAGAATCTGACTTAACTACATTAAGTAATCAAAGTTCATTTATACTAAATATACCTCCTCAAAAAAAACCCTGTCCCTCAATTTGGTTGATAATGCACTTTTCCACCCTACCGGGCTTCAAAACTCAAAAGAATTTCAGAGACTTATGTGTATTCTGAGTTTTCTTATGGCAACAATTTAACCTGTAAAAGGATTGGCAAAGAATAATGTGGTTCACTCAATGACGGGTGACTAAGATGGTATAAATACCTAAGTTTATATAATCATGCTACCCAACACATAGTTATGTTGTGACTCGAAGGCCAATGGGCCCATACATGAATTCATTAACAAAATTAAGCTGGTGAATGATGCTCCTGTTGCTTTGCTCATGGAACTAATTTCTTTCTTATTATGGCTTAACTTCTTTTCTTTACCTGCCTCCAGCCCAAGGACAGACATTTTGTTAGGGCATATCCTTATGCTATTTTTATCTTGTTCTCATTCTATCCTCCCTCTCTGTCTCTCTCTCCCACTCTCTCTTCACCCCACCCCCCCTTCCAACCTCTTCGCATTATGGACCTTAAATTAAATAAATATGAAATGAAGATCTTGAAGCCATTGCGATAATCAACTAACCTCTCAACTAGGTTATTTTCTTTATAAACGCCATTAATAATAATTTTTTTAGCATTTGTAGAGCTTCGCAGAGTTTACAAACAGTTGGAACGGCTCGGCGTTTTCAAAAAGCATACAGAGAAGGGAGGTCTCGAGAGGTGACTACATCATTCACTCCAACTTCCAGCTCTAGTTGCACAACTCCCAACATCCGACATAGGTTAGAATCACTAAAAATTAGTCTGGAGGGAGGGGGCAGATGATGGGCTGTTAAATCACATTTCAGTCCCCAGCCTCCACAGGGACCGATCAGGAATGACTGCTCTTAAAAACAACAGGCACTGCCGGCGGAGACGGAGACCGCGCCGGGGGCACGTGGTGGGGGACGACACGGCACTTTACCTGCCGGGACCCCTGGGACAGAGCAAGGGGACCGGTACCCGCTCCACCGCCGTAGGGCTCACTACCTGCAGGACCGAGAAAGCTCCTGAAACTGCACAGACAGGGCGCAAGCCGAGCTGAAGCTGCGGAGCCGGGCAAGGAAATCGTGGCCAGGAGCCCGAGGCCGGTGACCACCGAAGGACAGCCAGGCCGACCCCGGTCCGCCCTCCGCCAAGCCCGCGGAAGCGGCTCCGAGGGCCGTTTCGCTCGCGCCGGCGGACCAGCGCGTCGCCACAGCTGGATGGAGCCGGGCCAGGAGCCGGGGCGCGCGTCCCCGCCGCCCCGGGGGAGCCAACGGCTCCGTCTCGGCCGCCCCCTCCCCACGTCCCCCCGACTCCTCTCACCCGCCTCGAGCCGGCGACACGCGAAGGTCCGGGGTGCGCGCTGGCAGGCTCTGGGCGCCGGGGTGTGGTCAGGGGTCCTGGCGCTCCGGCCGCCGCCGCTCCAGCCGCTACGAGCCCTCTGGCCGCCGCCGGCTCCAGCAGCAAGTTTCCATAAAAGTCCTGGTGTGCAGCCTGTTCCCGCATTCCAGGCGGGCCCAACGCCGGCTGCAGCTGTTCCAAAACACGAGGCCAGTTCCCCCAACCCCCCGCCTCCGCCGTGTGGCCCGGAGAGGGGTGGAGAGTCCAGGAGGAAGGCGGGCGAGGGGGGCGGTGGCTGCCAACTTTCCGCCGGGACCTGCGGGTCGCCCGGCTCTGGGTCCCTGCGCTGACTCCCTCCCCGCGGGTCCCCCTCCACCTCGCGGCGGGGTCCGGGGAAGGCAGGCTGCCTCCCTTGTGGGAAACGGGTGCTACCGGAATGGGGTTCAGAAACAGGCGGCGGCTGCCGCGACCGGCAGCCGCTTTGCGCTGGGCCCGCTTCTCAGCTGCCCTACCGGTCCTGGTGTCTAAGAAGCCGAAGCACTGCCTTATCTTCTTCATCCAGAGCGTCGACCCTTGGCCAACCTTCCTTTTACTGTTGAGAGCACAGGGCAGCAGACCGGGGACCACTTCATTTGTCTGTTGCTCTCCTTTTCTTGGTTCTGGTCTTCAACTCCAAAGAGAATGGCTGATAGAGAAAAGTGGAAGAAAGAGGGGGGAGGGGGCGGGGAGGAGGAGGCATAAAAATAAATAATATTTATATAATCTTCCAATTTTCCTTAATTGAAGGCAAATCATCTCTGGTCTTTCTAAACCTACATTAATGCATCTTGCGAATATTAGCACCACAGAACTTTTCAATCTGGACCACCAGACTGCCAATTAAATCCATCAGACAACCTACATTAAAACCTGAAATACTAATCCAGCGGTGACATTTTCCTGGTGGGGAGACCTTCAGTTCTGCACTGCATGCATAAAATGAATATAAATTTAATGAATGAGTGAATGAATTAACAAAATCGAACTAGCATCCACACAGATAAGCCAGGGAAACTATCCACACAGATAAGCCAGGGACAACTACCTCCAATTTCCAGCCCTGGGCACAGTGGTGCTCAGGTTATATTTTCAGGGATTCTGAAAAGGCCTTCTCGTCTTAACTAAAACTTTCCTTCTCCATCCCATCCCCATACGCTATTTACTCGGGATGGAAATTCTTTTAAGAGGTATAAACCATTCATTCTTCAATTAGAGAAAAGTTCTAGATTGGTAATTAAGACAGCTATTTAAACTTACTCTAACACAGGTTAGCGTGGCCTGGATGATCTAGCTTGTTCCCTTGCACCCGTCAATACCATCACCCTAACCTTCTTCAGTTCATGGAATTTTCCGTGGTCATTCTGGCTGCAGGGCCTTTGCATAAGCTGTTCCCTCTGCATGAAATTCTCTTTCCCTGGACTCTTCACCTACCTAACTTCAACATATGCTTTTGCTGTCTGCTTATATGTTGCTCTCTCAGAGAAGCCTTCCTTTTACCCCAATCTTTATCAGTCCCCCCATTATAAATTCTCACTCCACCCTTTTCTTTCTTACACTTACCAATTTATAATTAACACATTTATATTTATGACTTAAAGGAGTAGAAACTGTCTTAACTGATCCACTCAGATTCACCAGATACAATAAAGCTCTTCATTCTTCCTATAAACTCTGCTAGCTACCCACAGCATGCAAGGCCTACCTCTTCTCCCCTCAATTCATCATTCATTCATTCAACAAATATTCAGTTCTAGATACTTAGGATACAGCAGTCACAAAACAAATAAAAAGCCCTGCCATCATGGGACATACATTTTAGTGGAAGAGGGCAGCCGGTAAGCAAATAAACAACAAAGTGATATGCATTAGAGATAAACCAGAGCAGAAAAGTAGGGAATGATGGGAACGGAGTGGGAGAAAAATGGTCCAGAAGGAGGTGCAAAAGCCCCAGGAAGGATCCTATCTGACATGTTCTAGGAAGAGCAAGAAGGCTTCTGTGGGTGAAGCTGAGTAGGCAAAGGGTGAAATAATACTGAGTGGAGTGGGGCAGGAGACAGACTGTGAGAAACCTTTTTTACATTGTAAGGACTTTGGCTTTTACTCGAGTAAGATGGGTGGCCACTGGTGGATTGTGAACAAAGCAGTGACATAATCTGACATATTTTTAACATGTTCACTCTGGCCAATGTGCTGCAAACACACTAAATGAAGCAGGGAGACCAATAGGAGGCTTCCAAAATAATCAGGATGAAAGGTAACGGGAGTTTGGACCAAGATGATAGTTCTGTAGGTAGTGAGAAATGCTTGGCGTATTTTTTTTCTTGGTACTTTTTAAAAAGTGGAACTGGTGTAGAAGAATGCCAGAGATTTCTGTGCATTAATTTTGTACCCTGCTACTTTACCAAATTCATTGATTAGCTCTAGTAGTTTTCTGGTAGCATCTTTAGGATCTCTATGTATAGCATCATGTCATCTGCAGTGAAAGCTTTACCTCTTCTTTTCCGATTTGGATTCCTTTTATTTCTTTTTCTTCTCTGATTGCTGTGGCTAAAACTTCCAAAACTATGTTGAATAAGAGTGGTGAGAGTGGGCAACCTTGTCTTGTTCCTGATCTTAGTGGAAATGGTTTCAGTTTTTCACCATTGAGGACGATGTTGGCTGTGGGTTTGTCATATATGGCCTTTATTATGTTGAGGAAAGTTCCCTCTATGCCTACTTTCTGCAGGTTTTATTTATTTATTTTTTGGTACACGGGCCTCTCACTGCCATAACCTCTCCCACTGTGGAGCACAGGTTCCGCACGGCAGGCTCAACGGCCATGGCTCACGGGCCCAGCTGCTCCGCAGCATGCAGGATCCTCCCGGACCGGGGCATGAACCCGTGTCCCCTGCATCAGCAGGCGGACCCTCAACCACCAGGGAAGCCCTCTGCAGGGTTTTTATCATAAATGGGTATTGAATTTTGTCAAAAGCTTTCTCTGCATCTACTGAGATGATCATATGGTTTTTCTCCTTCAATTTGTTAATATGGTGTATCACATTGATTGATTTGCGTATATTGAAGAATCCTTGCATTCCTGGAATAAACCCCATTTGATCATGGTGTATGATCCTTTTAATGTGCTGTTGGATTCTGTTTGCTAGCATTTTGTTGAGGAGTTTTGCATCTATGTTCATCAGTGACATTGGCCTGTAGTTTTCTTTCTTTGTGACATCTTTGTCTGGTTTTGGTATCAGGGTGATGGTGGCCTTGTAGAATGAGTTTGGGCGTGTTCCTCCCTCTGCTATATTTTGGAAGAGTTTGAGAAGGATAGGTGTTAGCTCTTCTCTAAATGTTTGATAGAATTTGCCTGTGAAGCCATCTGGTTTTGTTTGCTGGAAGAGTTTTAATCACAGTTTCAATTTCAGTGCTTGTGATTGGTCTGTTCGTATTTTCTATTTCTTCCTGGTTCAGTCTCGGCAAGTTGTGCATTTCTAAGAACTTGTCCATTTCTTCCAGGTTGTCCATTTTATTGCCATAGAGCTGCTTGTAGTAATCTCTCATGGCATTCTTATACACTAGTGATGAAAAATCTGAAAGTGAAATTAAAAAAACACTCCCATTTACCACTGCAACAAAAAGAATAAAATATCTGGGAATAAACCTATCTAAGGAGACAAAAGACCGGTATGCAGAAAATTGTATGACACTGATGAAAGAAATTATAAAGATGATACAAATAGATGGAGAGATATACCATGTTCTTGGATTGGAAGAATCAACATAGTGAAAATGACTCTACTACCCAAAGCAATCTACAGATTCAATGCAATCCCTATCAAACTACCACTGGCATTTTTCACAGAACTAGAACAAAAAATTTCACAATCTGTATGGAAACACAAAAGACCCCAAATAGCCAAAGCAATCTTGAGAACGAAAAATGGAGCTGGAGGAATCAGGCTCCCTGACTTCAGACTATACTACAAAACTACAGTAATCAAGACAGTATGGTACTGGCACAAAAACAGAAATATAGATCAATGGAACAGGATAGAAAGCCCAGAGATAAACCCACACACATATGGTCACCTTATCTTTGATAAAGGAGGCAAGAATATACAGTGGAGAAAAGACAGCCTCTTCAATAAGTGGTGCTGGGAAAACTGGACAGGTACATGTAAAAGTATGAAATTAGAACACTCCCTAACACCATACACAAAAATAAACTCAAAATGGATTAAAGACCTCAATGTAAGGCCAGACACTATCAAACTCTTAGAGGAAAACATAGGCAGAACACTCTATGACATAAATCACAGCAAAATCATAGCAAGATCCTTTTTGACCCACCTCCTAGATAAATGGAAATAAAAACAGAAATAAACAAATGGGACCTACTGAAACTTCAAAGCTTTTGCACAGCAAAGGAAACCATAAACAAGACCAAAAGACAACCCTCAGAATGGGAGAAAATATTTGCAAATGAAGCAACTGACAAAGGATTAATCTCCAAAATTTACAAGCAGCTCAATAACAAAAAAACAAACAACCCAATCCAAAAATGGGCAGAAGACGTAAATAGACATTTCTCCAAAGATGATATACAGATTGCCAACAAACACGTGAAAGAATGCTCAACATCATTAATCATTAGAGAAATGCAAATTAAAACTACAATGAGATATATCATCTCACACCGGTCCGAATGGCCGTCATCAAAAAATCTACAAACAATAAATGCTGGAGAGGGTGTGGAGAAAAGGGAACCCTCTTGCACTGCTGGTGGGAATGTAAATTGATACAGCCACTATGGAGAACAGTGTGGAGGTTCCTTAAAAAACTACAGATAGAACTACCATATGACCCAGCAATCCCATTACTGGGCATATACCCTGAGAACACCATAATTCTAAAAGAGTCATGTACCAAAATGTTCATTGCAGCTCTATTTACAACAGCCAGGACATGGAAGCAACCTAAGTGTCCACCAACAGATGAATGGATAAAGAAGATGTGGCACATATATACAATGGAGTATTACTCAGCCATAAAAAGAAACGAAATTGAGCTATTTGTAGTGAGGTGGATGGACCTAGAGTCTGTCATACAGAGTGAAGTAAGAAAGAGCAAAACAAATACCATATGCTAACACATATACACGGAATCTAAGAAAAAAAAAAAAGTCATGAAGAACCTAGGGGTAAGACAGGAATAAAGACACAGACCTACTAGAGAATGGACTTGAGGATATGGGGAGGGGGAAGGGTAAGCTGTGACAAAGTGAGAGAGTGGCATGGACATACATACACTACCAAACGTAAAATAGATAGCTAGTGGGAAGCAGCCGCATAGCACAGGGAGATCAGCTTGGTGCTTTGTGACCACCTAGAGGGGTGGGATAGGCAGGGTGGGAGGGAGGGAGACGAAGAGAGAAGAGATATGGGAACATATGTATATGTATAACTGATTCA